CAGACTTCTCCATTGAAGCTGTAAGTGTGCAGAATTACGAGCAGTCTGTTAAACTTGTGAAATTACCGGTTGACTGATGAATTCTACTTCCGTGTGAACCCGCAGAAACAGGGTGCATGATACTGCGCCCCTCAACATTAATCCCCTGCCGATCGTTGAGGACCTCGGAAGCGGGCGCGGCGAAGTGACAGGCGCCGTGGCCCATGGCTTTGACGAACGGTAGGCGCCCCTCCCCGGGTTTCCCCACACCGTTGCCGATGCCCTGACGCCCCCTCTCTCCTGTGCACCCAATCGCCCGCTTGTCGTGCACTCATGGCACGGTCACGACCCTCCAGCGTGTAAACGAATGCAGGTTCGGGCTCCTGGAGGCCCGACTTCCGGCGCAGCTCACGGACTCGGTGCTTCCGCGGCTTCGTGTTCGCATGCCAGGTGCGTTGCACTGAGCCAAGCAGGGCGATGTCATCCTCCTCGTCCGCAAGGTCGTCCCCCGCGTCGTTCTTTTGCCACGTGCGCACCAAAGGGCCATCTTCATCATCTTCATCTGCAACCTCCGTCGCGGCTGCACCAGCGGCTCTTCCATCAATGACCTGCCTTGTCCAGTCTTTGTACCACTCCTCCACCTCCGTCTTCGCAAGGTCATTGTCCTTCCAAGGAATGTTGTTGTCCTCCGTCTCTCTGCGCTCCCGCCTCGTGGTCAATTGGATGTTCCAATTGCTGTAAACGAGCTTCGCCAGTCTCTCGGGCAGGAGTTTGGTGCGCCGTTGTCCGTATATTAGCTGGTGCAAACTCCAGTTGCGCTCGCACGCGGCCGAAGAGCTCACCTGGCTGAGAAGCTTGATGGCTTACGATTGGAGAAGGTCCAATGATCCCCCGAACGCCTCCCACCAAAGTGCTAGTGTTTGCAGCTTGGCCTGCTCCTTTGCGTTTTGTGTCTCGAAAGTGCCCAATCCGCGGACCCAATAATCGACTTGCCTGCTGATTTGATTCAGTAGCTCCGGTGGCGCCCAAGAATAGAGCCAGATGTTGAATCCCTCGCGGATCTCCATATCCCGCATGGTCAGCGACCGATACTCTGGATCGAGAAAGGCTGCAGCGCAATGCAACTCGGATGTCAAGAACGCTCACCGGTCCATGAGAATGTTCTCCACCGCTAACTTCTCGTCCTCCGTCAAACAGTCGAGGATCCGCATCTGTGCGACGATCTCGTCCATGCCGAAGTACTCGTTGCTGACAGTAGCTCCGGGACCGTCCACCAAACGCAGCAACTTGACCACGGGCTCCATGACAGCGATTGCTCTGTCGACCTCGTCCCAAAAGCCACTATCCACTATGGTGCGCGTGACAACGTTGAATGCCTCCACCTGCTCAGCCCTCACCAACTTCTCAACCCATGCCACGTTGCCGACGCACAACTCGAGTGAAGTCCTCCCTCTCTTTAGCGACTCCAGCATTTCGAAGTTCGTTGCGAACCTCGTGACGGCTGGGCGTTTGCGATTCTGTTGAACATTGCGCGGACCTTGTCAATGTTGGTCACAAACTTGCCCACTCGGTTGCCCTTGTCAACGACTTCCTTCATCCAGTCCATTCGCTTGTACATATCTTCCAGCGCCAAATCCAACGCATGGGCCGTGCAATCGACACTGAAAATCCCGGGGTACTTCACCTCCACCATCTTCCCGGCCTTCGAACAGACCCTCGCATTGTCCATCACGACGCCGACGAGGACTGCGGACCGATCTCCTCGATGACTCCCTCCAGCAGCTTGAAGTAGGCCGCTGAATCCTTCTCCTTCCCTTCCATGCACACGGACTTCCAAAACACAGTGCCAACCGGGGAGGAAACCATTACGTTGAGATGTGGTTTGTTCCTCCTATCCGACCACCCGTCCATTTGCAGCATGCAGCCCGTCCTCTCCCATTTCCTCACAAGACTCATCATGTCGTCCCCAACAAGTTTGCGCTGCCCGTCCAACCGCTTCGTCCTCATCTCGTCCCTCTTGCATGACCACCAACTAGGATGGCAGTTCTTAACTGCATTGATGAGCTGAAGGAAGTAGTAGTTCTCGACCAAGCTGAAGGGTTGGTTCGTGCAGATCAGGAAACGGTCCAGGTGTCTGCTGATCTGCTCATTCTGGGTGATGATGCTGTCCGCTTCCTCGATCAGGGTTTGCCTCGTCGGCCGTCCGACCAACGGTGCAGCGTACCCGGATGTCGCGGGTGTGCTTGACTCACCAACAGCCGGAACAGGGGGCCTGCTCGCCGTCGGGGATGGGACGACCAAGCTGCTTCGAGAGGGAGCTCTGCTCGGACCCGCACCCGCACTTCCTTTCCCTCCGATAAGGGATTCCGCCTGCATCGTTCCCATTCGAATCCCCTCTATCCTCCTCAACCTCTCATCTGCGCCCAACGAGCGGGTGACACGCTCAATACTACACTTGCCCTTCAAGAAGTGGTCCTTGAGGTTGGTGGCCGAGCCAACGAACCGGGTCTCGCAGTAGTTGCAGACATAGTGCTTATGCCCCTTGCTCTTGTTTTTCCCGGTCGGACCGCTGTCGGTGAAGTGCTTCTTGAGCTGCTCGATCAACACCTTCGTGGAGAGACATCTTTCCCTGCGCACATGCAGTCCATAAAAAGCCCCAGCGTCAGCCCCTCGGAGCACCCTTGTTTAAACCTCTCCC